CCCCCCCCCCCCCCCCCCCACCCCACCAAAGCAGATTTTATTGTGAAAGTAAAAACGAATAGAAAATAGTCTAACGGTAGAGAAAGTTCTCACATCAGTACATTAAACATCAACAAATAAAGCCCTAGAATAAAAAAATAATGTTCATCTAAATTTCTTTCTTGGTCTATTTTACTCCACATCATAAGTGAAGCAATAAATTTGAGTACTTCTGGCACAGCTGTAATTCAATCTGAACAAATTTTTAAAAAATGTTTTAATAGGAGTAAGGACAAATTTTGAGGCTAATGGGAAATGCAAAGAAGAATGCCATCCCTACTTTTATGAAGTTAGCAAAACCTCATCATGTCTCAAACAAAAATCCTTTTAACTATTCATTATCCAGGTTCAGCAACAGCTGCTGTTGTGCTTATACTTACTAATATTGTATGATTTTTTTTAGTAAGATTAAATCCTCATAAATAGGCAGTTATAAAGCCAAAACATAGTTTAACTGCCTAGGAGTAGTGGCCTCAATTTATTGACAAAATTATGCAATAAAATCCCATTCGCAAGACTCATCATATTCAATTCACAGAATAATTATAATTTCAGTTTAATCCCAGATCCCTAAAGAAGAGAGTACATACAACGACAACATCACTCGCACTGCTATAATAGCAGAACAAAGCACATGTCCAATGAGTGACAAAGCTTCCAGGATACAATGAAACTGAAAACCTTGACAGGTCAGGTAAAACAAAGTCAATACATCTATCACAACAACAGCTTGCTAGGATATCTAACATATGGAATACACAGATGAGTGTCAGAGAGACAGCTGTTATGCAGACTCCATTGAGCAACACACTATAATATATTTTTGTCGTTATTTCATTTCAATTACTTTACTATTATCATATAGACTAGATCACTTTTCCCTATCTGGGCAAAATTATCTCAGTTCATAGATAAGAGGACTGAAAACACACTGTGCTGTTTTTATACTAGTGACTGAGTCACACACATATATATACAAAAAATGCTTCATATTTTTATACTGAAATGTTTTTCTAGTGAAACATTTCAACAACAGTGGTGACAGATTGCAAAGCTAGCCGTGACAATCTAGATACATTAAACTATAATGGGATGACAAGACCTTGACATCCTCTGTGTCATAAGATCAATGATACAGTAACTATAAACACTATTGCTCAACTATGGAGGCTCATTTTATTGTAGTTTTGTCAGCTGAACGAAGGACAATAGTAATGCAACCTTCTGAGTGGCATCAAAAGTGCAACCGAGTTGAGACAAACATGCTGGCTCAAGCGGTGAGCTATGAATGTGAAGCGCACTCACAACACAATAATAATTTTTTAAAAGACAGATGATAGGCCTTCGAGGCTGACAGCTACACGATGCTGACAGACATGTGTGGTCTCCATCCATTCAATATATGAAAAAAGAGATGAGTAGTACACTGTTTTCTGTAGATTTGTCCATAAATCGAGTGTTACATCCACGCTGTAGGATTCTAAACAGCTATAACTCCAAAAATGGGTTTTTTGTTGTGTTTGCTTTCTTTTATTGTTGTCCCCCCCCCCGAATTTTGACGGACCACACACAACATATCCCATAAATAACTTTCAGCCAGATTGACCTCTATACAAATAGTCGCTACAACGTTGGATTCTAAACAGCTAAAATCAACATCAGATTTTTTAATGTATTTAAATATAATACCTTACTTTTTTATTTTTTCAACATCCTGTAAAATTTACAGAAACTACAGAGTTAGCTATTTATTTAGAATCCTGCAGAGACAATATGCAAAATATATTCTAAAATGATAATATAATTTTACCTTTACAAAAAAACACTATTTACTGGCCTTTGTACACCATTCAAAAGTCAATTATAACCTTTACCCTCCATGTAAAAACTTGCAAACACAACATTTTGCCATTTTATACTATTGACATAACACCTGACAAGAAATAAAAAACCAAAACAAAACAAAAAACAATGGATTTTGAAACAGTCACGAAACTGCTCCAAAACCATCATTATGTAATTGTACAATGTAATCCCAATCCACGCTGTGAACTGCCTGCTTGGTAAAATAAACAATCCAGCAACATCATCAGGGTTATTTTTAACTGTGTCGTTACCATTATGCCACCTTTTCATACTGAAACCTACACATCACAACAACAGGTAAATGATAACAGCTCTGCAGTACTATTTCACAGGAAGGCCCTGCACTCTAGTTGATAATGATACAGCTACAAAAATGACAAAACACTTGATGGGAAAAATAAACTCCTCTTCTCCTGTTTACATAAATAAAATATAAACATAAAAATCTTTGTTTGAGAGTTTTATCAGTATATATTTCAAGCTGGGAGGGGTCTTCAAGGTCAGCCGATGAGCATCCTTATCAAAAGTTAAATTACATTTCAGAGACCCTACAACTCATCAGACTCATGAATCACGGAAAAGATTTCCAAGTCATTTTTAAGTTGTCACATTACAGTTGACAATGACAACAGTCACATTTTTGGGAGAAATATATCAGTTCATTAAGATTTAATATTAAGAAAACCCCTCCCAAAAAAACAACAACCAAACAAACAAAAAGACAACCCCCCGGGGCAGTGCCACTGACTGAAGTGTCTTTAGGCAATTCCCAAAGGGGGGACATTTCTCGTTCATGCACAGTAGAATTGTAAATGGGCCAATTCGTCAATCCTTTACTAAACTTCTTTTGTATGTTTGTCACACTCTTGTGACCCACTATTTACGGGATGCCTTGATAGTCGAAGTAGACTTTGTGCTGTTGAAGCTAGAGAGGTGAGCATAGTAAGTCTGATTCCCCGTACGGACTTCTATTGGCGCTCATATGACCTTATGCAGTTGCGAGCACCGTAAAAGTTCTACAAAAAAAAAAAGGAAAAATGGAGAGCCCCCCCCCCCAATAAATAAATATATGTATCTTTATCTTTGACCTTCTTGTTACACATTAGGATTACTTAATTATCACTTAACCCATGCAGAGTACTTGTGGAGTACTTTCTCGGACTGCATCTCATTTTCCTAATGATCAGTCACAAGAAGCGGTTGACTGCCTCTGAGCATGTGATGAGATAATTATACACACATACACCCTTCACAGAAACAGCATTCATAAATTAGTCTCATCAAGCTGAAAATTGGATCAGAAAATCCACCACCTCATTATTTTTGCAAATTCATCAAAAAAAGAAAATGTTCCTTCCAAACTTATAAATGTTAACTAAAGAGTGCTTTTTCATGTCATGTAATTACTTTCTTCTATTTTTATTAACTCAAATGGGTGAAAAAATGTGCATGCGCATACTACTCATGACTTTAAGACTTAGTAACATTAGTTCAGGTGACATAAAACTTTCCAAACAAACAAAAATGCTATTATACCGTCAATAGGCCTATACACCTCAATTCATCCTCTATCACACAAAAAGAAAATAATAATGGCTGCCTCTTTTAGAAACAATACATAAAGACTAAAGTGTCTAAAGACACTCTATTAACACTTTATCACCCAGTTTCTTTGGATTTTCCCCAAAACGCCTTTGACTTTGTAGACAAGGGTTTCTATTATATGAGCCTTGTGATGGCAAAATATTAAAACCTCTCACATCAGTCGGCTGTTCGTAATACACAGAAGGTAATGACAGCCCACCCACCCCCTCCCCCCCCCACACACACAAAAACGCACTCACACACAGAAAAACAAAAAATATGCCCATGACCTATCAATTAATTTTTTGTTTCCTTTTCTTAAATCATGTGATGAGAAAACTTTGAGACTTACCAAAACACTGTGCATGCCCAGGTACAGACGACTGAAGCTGACTAGAACACTCCATGTTATGGCAAACAGTAGGCCAAATGCAAAATTAAACTGAAAAAAAGGGAAGAAAGAATAGATCATGTTTATCTTTAGACACAAAACACTACAAGTTTTATTATATAGAATACCTTAAAAAATCAGCTCGATTCAACAGCAGCAGCATTGTTCTTACTAAGTTACTTTAAAATAGTCATCCACACCAGTAGTACATGTAAAACATTTTAATTTTTTTTTTCACCCCGTCCACAATGCAAAGCCTGTCAAGAGTGAGAGTGTAGTGTGTGCTAGAAAAGACCATTGAGAAGACACTGGGCAGAGTTATCTAAACCATTATAAAAAGGCTTATATTATAATTTTGGACGCAAAAATTGTAACACAGCTGATGCACTCAACACAAAGCAATGAAGACCTAGAACTTTACACTACACACACTGCATTGGATCCCACTAAAGGAGCCCATCCCAACAAAGATGGGTGACCACATTTTTCAGCCCATAGCTCTTTAACCTCCCCTTGACGTCCTAGAGGTACAAGCAAGAGGAAGGATAAAAGAAAAGAAAGCTCTTGAACCAAGAAACATTTTTTAAAAACCCAATTTGCTACCTTAGTTCCTAATCTAAATAAGACAGGTTATGATTAGAATTGACTGGAATTCATTACTCTAAACCACAAATTAGGCTAAATAAGCCTGCTAAAAGTGACAGAAATTAGAAATAGAAGCTGTTAAATAAAAGGATAAAAAGACAGATTTGCCCCCAAAATATTTTGGTGTGCACTTCGTGTCATGCAGCAAAGGTGCATGAGGAGCTATTTTGGCCAATGCGTGCAGAGGATACAGGGATACGAGAAAGTGCACATCAGCTACAAATATAGCAGACATAGAGGTGAGGCCCTTATAAAATATAAATACCCACAACTGTGGACTGTAGAAGGTTAGCCAGAACAAGAGTACAAAACTTGTCACTGGAAAAAGCAGGAAGTTAGCCATTAGTTTTGCTAACCCCCGAGTCAGAACTTTCACTATACGCACACTATATTAAACCATCCATGCCGCAGGGGCAGAAATCCAACAAATCGAACGAACCAGAAATGACTTTGTTACAGAGCTAAACTAAGAGGAGGAATTTCATTACCACTTCCTCATTAGTTAACTTCCTTGTCTACTCTCTTCTTCTCCCCCTGCAGAAAAAGTATTTTACTTTACAAAGTACTTTTATCAATATTCATTAAAATAAGTCATCTTGGTAAAAAAAGTGTTACATTATAATATTAAGACCTTTATTTGCCATTAAAATTAATATATAGAGGCTAATAACATATAAGCCATTAAATCAATCAATTAGACTTGTCAGTGTGAACAAATCTCTGCTGACAGCTAAAAGAGAATTAAACAAAAAAACAACCAATGAACAATTACAATCTTGTTACAATTGAGAAAATCAATTTATAAGACCCCAAGTGAAAAATGATGTCAAACAAACCAAGCCCTGATAATTATAGCAATTAAAAAAAGTGAACTTCTTAGAAAGTTTTCTTGTACAAGAAGATACTGATAAAAAGAATATCCTGGGCCTATTGAGATGTTGTGTATGCATGATGTATGACACAATTGAAATTGTGTAACAGACACACAAAAAAGACAACCAACATAACATAAGGGGCACAGTGAAGAAAAATTCTAATTCTTGTACCAATAATAAGGGACTTCAAATACAATTTATTATATTCCTTACACATGGTGCTCATTTGCATGATCGGTTCCATTTGGTTCAGTTTGGAAGGCAGGGCTAGCCAGATTGAGGGCCCAAAGCGACCATCCTGGCACACACCCACCGCCCGACTCACAGCCCTCCTGTTTTCCTCATAATTTGACATTTTTCAGTTAGGTTTGAAATGTTCTTGAAAATAATTAAGACTATAATTATTGATTTGTGACAGTTTTAGTGCCTAGGCTATAGGCCTAGATCTAGATCTAGAAATCTAGATCTAGATTCTAGATCTCTGTGAACTGCTGCAAAATTGAAAAAATAAAACGTTTGACACCCCCAAAGGCAGCGCTAGGCCTACATGTGCAGGAGAGTGAAATTCAAGATTTATCAGGGAATAAAATGTAGGCCTACTAAGGTTTATATAATCTAGATTCTACCATTAACACCTCACCATTATTCTTTTAAAAACAGCACAAAAACAAAGTTTACCTCATATCTTCCTGACATGAAAACTATCATGCCAAAAGGTATTGCGACTCCAACCATCGCATGCGTCGATGGCATACCATACTCCAATTCATAGCGCTCTTCCATTCGCACAACTGGGGGGGAATTTGGTCTTGGCCACCGAATTACATCCTTTGCAGCCTGGCCAACATACATTATGACACACCACACAATGCAAACTTTTCTAACCACAAAACTGTCAAAGTTCCAGATAGTGAATGTGAAAAACATTATGTAAAAAACTTCATTCCCAAGGCTTGCACCAAATGAAAAAATGTAATACAATAAGTAATTTTCAATTGTGTATTTTGGAGAACTGTCCGAGTTCGACACTTCAGAGGACTGAGTCCCTGTGTTTGATTGCTCTTGACCACCATGACCATTTTCTGAGTGTTTTTTGTCTTTTCCATTTTCATTGAGATGGTCGTGACGCAAATATCCATTGCCGTTGGTGAAACCGTTCAGGCCGTTTACTTGATCATGGTTCTTGAAGCCATTTTTTCCATTTACATGGCTTCTTTCTTTCACTCCATTACTAAAGTGGCTTGTGCCGTTGCATATGTGCTTTCCATGACCGTTTGACACAATCGTAGCTGATGATTCACACCCATTGCTGGACAATTTAGCCACGGATCCATTGGCTTTTTTAGTGATGCTACCGGTGCTCTCCCACCCGGTGTTCCTCGAAAACTCACCGTTCACACCATTACTTTCGACAGTCACATCCTTATGCTTTTTTATCCCACATATTCTTTGAAATTCCGCTGTTAAATTTGAATGTCCAACATAAGAAACGAACTTTTGGCCGAAACTTGTCATTTTCCCCCCTTGTTACTACGACCGAGGAAAGCGGTAGGTGCGGTTTCGCCGACTTATTGCACCTCCTCGGTTGCCAGAGAAATAGGTATGTGAGGCATTTTACAGCTAAATTATTCTTTCCATACCAATGTCGACTGAAACTGTCACGGTGATTTCCAAATACGCTTATTTTCGTTACTTTGAACTCTAAACAGTATTCACGGCTTCTAGATTTAAAAAAAAAATCAAAAGGTCTCACTAACTTATCAAGTTTCTCCTAAATGTGAAATTGTTGTATTTTATATGCATACACAGTCCGATTTGGTAAAACTCTTGCAGTTGAAAATATCCTCCAAATAACCAAGTCTAGGCCAAGAACTTGTGAGCAAAAACCAATTTTATTTTTTTAGCATGCGGAAAGAAGAGTAATCCACATGAAGTTTTGAAACAGAATACACCACGACTAGAACCATGACCAAATTTATTAGAGCCACTGTACAATGTGGCAGCTATTGGCGGGCACAAAGTGACTGAGTCGGCGTAACGCCACCTAGCACGGGCCTACTCAAGCAAACAAGAGAGAGGGAGAGAGAGAAGGAAGAGCGAGAGCCGAAATCTTCATCCGGGAACTGCGCTCTGCTGGGCTGTCGCTCCAGGCGTGCTGACCTGATTGAGGTCATTCAGTCAGAGTGAGGTCATGCCATTGATAGGAAATGACGTCTACAACATTGCGGGTTAAGTATGTCAAGTAGGTTCAGTTTGAACGGAGCAGTAAAAATAATAGACCCCCTCGATATTAGCGCATTTTATAACAAAGGTATGAAATATTTCACGGACAGCGAGGCGTGAATCATAATACATGTTCACCCTGATCTGGTTCATCATGCTCATTCTTTAGTGATTTTCGTACAGGAGAAAAGGATGACCAGCGAGGGCAATCCAATTAATTCTTTATGCGTGTTGGCATTTTAAAAAACCCGGCGGGGGTGGGGG